CCCTTCAGTCTTAAAACCCAGGAGCCCTTCTGTTTCCTTGACGTAACTTGGCTTGTCCAGGTAACTGACCCATTGTGTATTGCTGGTATAGTTTTAATGTTTGTTTCCTGTATTTCCAATGTATCGGGAGCTAGCTCACCTTTCCCCTCTCCCCAGGAGTGGGCTGTGCTTCTGTTTCTTCATAGCTACTGGAAGAACAGTCCTCAGAAACAAGGGGCATGTGTGCGTATTGGTGATAGCGTGCAGCACGGGCATGGGAGGGAAGTGGCTGGCACGGCATCTTTGTTCGCAGCCAGCCTTCCTTGGGGCAGGAAAGAGAGCCAGATGAATCTCCTGGGTCTGAAGCAAGGAAGAGAAGGCGAGTGTTTTTGCTGAGAACTGCGAGGTCGCCCGGGGTTCATGCCGGGAGCGCTCTAGGACTGATGTGTGTGTGATCTCGGCTGTGGCTTCAGACAGAGGATTCTCACCCAGACTCTTACCTGTGTGTGGGTGCCGGGTCAGGGTCTCTAAACACACACACCTGCTCCTTTCCTAGCCTGGTCACAATCACACTGTGGGCAAAGCAGGGGTGCAGCTGGCCCTTAGGAGTGACTTCAGGCTTTCAGGACACCCCGAAAGCGACCGAGTCACTCCTCTGTTGCAGGTTGTCAGATGCACAGTTCCTAACAGCTCACTGGAGCCTGCAGGGGCGTCTCGTCTCTCCCTGCCTGGGGCCCAGCAACTGGGAGCCAGTCCAGTGCGGTCAGGTACTCAGGCCGAGCGTGCAAGGGCACGATCGTCCTTACTTGAGCTGGATGTGCACAGGGGGATAGAAAAGGGAGACATTTGCGCAGACAGCACCAGGGCTGCTTTTGGGGCTCACTGTCAACGGGAGGCATAAGTGACGGAACAGTGAAGTCACACTGCCGGCCTAGACCGGGACACTTAGTAGTGCTGAACTCTAGTTCATTATTCAGTTAGGTCACGCAGTAAGCCCGGAGGGGACAGGGCCTGTCATTCAGGGGCAGAGGAGTCGGTGGCACTCGAAGCGTGCATCCTGAGTCAGAGCAGCATGCTGCTGGAAGGCTCGGCTCGCTTCTGCTCTTGTTTGAGAGGGGAGGACAGGAGAACGGGGCGCTGACTCAGAGAGTCAGGCATTGCGTTTCTATTGGACACGTTCTGTGATGTCTTAGGTCTAGAACGATAACACCAAATCGTCTTTCACCAACGATCTCTAATGGGCAGTTAGACTGCTTTGCATCTGTTAGCAACTAAAGTTTTTTCCAGGAAAAATAGCACCTGTAATGTCATCGCTCCTTTCATTCTTCATGATAATAACAGTTTTGTCATGATAACGTGGCATCCCTTTTGACTGAACCCATCTGCCCCTCCACACGCACCAACACAGAAAATACAAAGCGTTATCTGTCCCAACCCCAGAGTCTTCCCGTCTCTTAAAGGGACACTTCTGTCCAGGAATCCTGACACGTTGCAAACCCTCGGGTGGAAGAAACGCCATTAACTTACATGCAGATGACACTTCCATACTGGCAGGAAGCAGCAGTGATTTGAAACGGCTTCTCATGAGAGCGAAAGAAGGAAGTGACGAAGCAGGACTGTATCTGGTCACCGAGAAGACAAACGTCACAACGACAGAAGGAATCCACAACTCAGCGCAGGCGGCGAAGACAGCAACGTTGTTAATGCGTTTGCTGACCTCGGTTCGGTCATCAGATGGGGACGAAGCCAGGACATCAGAGGAGGCTGAAACTCGGCGGGATGGAGGACTCGGCAAGGGTCCTGAGAGCACAGGCGTGTCACTGGGGCCCGGGGCGAGGACCACCCACAGCCTCGTCTCCCCCGTTGCTGTGCATTCACGTGGGGGCCCGGCGGTGAGGGAGGCTGGTGGGAAAGTGCTGACGGGGACATGCGGGGAGAAGGGGAGCTCCACGGGGCCCCCGGCCCCCGGGGGAGGAACGAGAGGGTCCCAGCGCAGAGCGGCCCTGACGTGCCGCCGGAGACGGAATGACGGCCCCGGAGCGGTCCTACCTGGCACGTCCTAGGAGGCCGGTTCTCTGGGAGGGACCGTGGTGCTGGGGAAACGGGCAGCGGGAAGAGAGGGAGACCGGGCAGGAGACGACCGGCCCCGCAGAGGGGCCGCAGGCAGGGTCTGCGGGAGCCGAGCAGGGCTGCCGGGGACGGGCCGCGGTGGCCGGCGCGCGTCTGCGAGGTGGCCTGGCCGGGAGTCAGAGCCGACGCCACAGCGCGTGGGGGATGGGGAGTCCTGTCCTCCATCAGTCTTGTCAGCTGTAACGGGAACCATGTTATAAGTGAAAGTCATAAACTGGCCCTTCCCTAGTCAAGGAGTTTGGGTGGCTCTCCCCTGTGCCAGCTTCCACGCTGTGGTAGCAAGTGTGCATGTCCCCGCAGAGCAGGCACAACAGACATTGCTTGTGTGACCGAGTGTGTGAGTTTCACTAGTAGGAGCAGAAGAGGGTGGTTAATTTTTTAAAATGTCGGCTTTATTGAGAGATAATTGACAAAATTCTAAGAAATTGAAAGTGTATATCATGGTGAATTGATATATGTATACATTTTGAAGAGAAAGATTAAAATTAAAGTCATTATTTGGCCCTAGTTGGAAAAATTAATGGGTTATGTGGTTGACGAGTATGTGCATTATTGTTTTTATTTGTGTCGGCCTGGGACGGGATAAGAAGCACCTAGCTCTGTGTCAGCATCCCCATCCAGAGAAAACTGCTGTCACTGTATTGGCATAGCTCCTTTCAGAGTTTTTCTTGATCTGCATATGTTTAACGAAATTGGGAAGATACTCTTATTAATAACACATTAGTATTTTAACAAGGTATTTTTCTCGATGCAGTCAAAATAAGACATTTTAAAATTGACATATTCTGTTCTATGTAGCGAATATAGTAAGTTATTATTACAAGTTAGTAAATATTAGTACCAATAGAAAAATATTAGTGGACTAAACACTTTTAAACTCAGATATATCTAAGTTTAAAAATCTGGACTATTCTTAGGCAAATTTGGTGATTCTTTTTTATAAACATAAGGCATTTATATGTTACAGAATTTAAAGTTGCTCTCGAGGAAATGTTTTTATCCCATTAATTCAGTTTTAAGATTAAGTATGATTTTAAATCTGTTTTTCTCTTTTTCTTCCCAGATCCAAGTATTTTAGAACATGCTCAAGAGGTGAGCACTTAACTATAGAGGTAAGTGGACTCTTCAGTTTGATTGAATTAAAGGACCTTAAGGAGGAACTTTTTTTATTATTATTAAAGAGGGAGCTGGACCTAAATTCAGTTTGGACTCTGACTTTCCCTATCATTGATGCTAGTGGAGAGGGAAAGAAGTGGGTGGTGGGAGGGGTGAGTAGGGAGCGGTTTGCAGAAGGTTCAGGCCGTGTTCTTCTAATAGAATTGCTGCTGCTGCTCTTAGGAAGTGGTTGTTTCATGTCACCCACCCTGCACAACTCGGGGACAGGTGGTTCTGTCAGTAATAGTGAGCCTAGAGACAGGTGGGCGCCCGCCCTAGTGAGAGGTGCTCCACAGCCGAGGCAACAGGTTGGTTTAGGCTCCCTGTAGGGCCGCCTGGGTCACTATGTATGTAAAACATAGAAATGGAGTCTGCCATTTACTCAGTCCTCGCTGTGTGCCAGCTGCCCCACCGTGTAGTTTATGAATGTCTTTGCACAATTCTTACTGCGGTCATACCGAACAGGTGGCAGTCACCCCATTTTATGGATGAGAATCAGGGGCTTAGGCAGGTGAAGAGATCAGGCTGTAACACACCGCCTGTAAGTGGCACAGTTTAGATTCCGGTCCAGAACCTCCTGCCTGTGGAGCTTGAACACTGCACTTTACTGCCTGTGTTATTAAATATGGAAGCAAATAAACCAGAAATTTGTTTTTAAAAAAATCACAAACCAGTACAGAAAAATAAGTTCAAGATAATAATTTTAAAGTTTTATGTAATCCCTTTAGATTCCATATTCTCTAAACCTTTTGAATTTGTTTTTTGATCTTTAGACAATAAAATAATATTAATAAGAAAACAATTTTTTCTTTCTTTCAAATGGTTATTTGTCAAATTATAGTTAAAATACAAATATTTTAATGGTATAATTTATAGTAATGGCTTTCATTAGCTGATTTACGTTCCTGTCTCTGGAAGGACATCCTGCTGAGAGTGGTGACTGCCACCCAGTAGACTTTCAGCGGACAGTTATACGAATGGATAGATAAATAAATATAAACATTATAAGAGAAATTCTTGTTTGGGTATCTTTAGTCCCTGTTTTTGGAGTAATTTTCCTTCTTATGACAAAGTATTTATTGTGAACTCCAGTGGAAGAGTCTGGCAGTGTGGGTTCATACATCTGTATGAAGTACTCAATTCAGGTGAAAGTTTTCTTGATAAGTTTATGATTTATGTAGAAAATTGCTGTAATTTTTTTTCGTGTGAAGTTTTAAATCAAAAAGGTACCTTCTCTTGACCATCTTGTTGAATATCTCAGATGAACTGATGTATGAAAAGGCTTGACTTAAGTGTCTTACACATACAAAGTACATTATTTTTGTGGTAAAAGTGACTTTTTTTGTGGGGTATGTGCCTTAGATATCTCTCCTAACACTCACTTTCTTATTCTTTCAGTTCGAGAATCTAGTAGGAAGTGATGAAGTAAGTGTCTCCATCGTAGTGCAAATCCACATCGTTCTCATTGCTCCTCTAATTAGCGCAACAATTATTCTTTTTAAAATAACATTAATTTCATTTTCTTTTATTTTACAATTTTTATGTTTTGACTTTTATTTTTACTTTTTAGTCCCTTAATTCCTTATTTTATAGTTTATATTAGCAAATAATTCAGAAATTTTCTAACGTGGAACATATAATGCTATATATGTAGCTTAATTCGTGTACAGTTGCGTGTTAAGTATCAGTTAAGTATAACATATGTACCAGTTATGTAAAGCGGGTTTTTAAAGCACTCTTCAGAACGCAGGACCTTCAGAAAGGGGTCTCTCCCACCTCTTGCCATCAGGCAGGTGAAACTCCTCGGCAGTCCGGAGCAGACCCATTCTGTGACCACAGTTTTCATGGACTTCCCTGAGTGGAATTTATACCTGTTCATTCTACAGTCCGTTTCTGACTTTAGCTATTATCTTTTCTATCTGTTATTTTCAGTTGGGTTGTGGTGGTGTTGTTTTTTGGTTTTTTTTTTTTGCGTTTTATCTCCTCTAAAACTTGGTTTTAAGATACACCCTAAGTACAGAAAGATTAAAATACATTTTTAAAAGGACATTTTAGGATTAGTGGAATGTGGTGTCTATTTTTTGTGTACTGTTATAGTTAGAAAAGTTTCAGTATATGTGTTAATTTTTAGCGTCACTAAACTAATTCTATGCATTGGTGCAAATCACTGACCCCCTGAGCCTGCTCTCCAGTCTCTAAAATGAATTAGACTGAGACAGCGCCCCAAGCTCTGAGTTTTTATTGTTCTAAGAAAAGAGGAAAATGTATCAAATTAAATTTAAATTTTTCTTTAGCCTGGCATTTCCCAGTGTGTTTGGAACACTAGTCTCAGAGTGTCAATTGGCATGTTAAAGGTCATAAGAAGAAAATAAACTGATTCAATTCAGCGTTTCCCAAATTAATTTGGATCTAAATCCTTTTCATAAGTAGCAGTACCTATTATTATCACCGTAGCCTTCGTTTTCCCATAAAATTTCTCCCAGATATTTTAATGTTTCATAGCACCTCGTTTCTTTCCCTTTTCAAAGGTCACGTTAATCTTCATGTATTTTTCTTGACATAGTGTAAGCCAACATCTGACATGCCATTTTTTAAATTTCTGACACATGTATCTGTAAGAGTTCCTGCACCCTTCAGTGTAGTTCGTGCCAGCATCAAACTGCTTTGTGAAAGATTTATGGTTCCGTGTATTTTCCTAAGGTGCTTTTTGTTTGCTTGAGTGTTTGGTTTGGTGGTTTTGTTTTTGTCTGCCAGTCTTTTTCTCTCTCATGTTATATTTTGCGTTTGGTTTGTTTGAACTGTCTTGTAGTGCTGTTTCCTAAATTCATTTGGACCATTTG